ATGCAGAAATTATAAAATTAAAAATATAAAACCGTAATATATGAAATAAAAAGCACTTATGATCTAAAGGGTATCAAAATTTACAAAAAAAGAAGCTTAATATTTATTTGTTTACTTTATTAAACATTTCTTTCAAAGCGCGCATGCATAAAGCATACCTTACGCATAGCCGAAATTAGAAAATTGCAAATAGAAAACTATTTGATTTGTATTTGTGATATTCATAATGACGAGGAATTTTATTTAAATCATATCAAAGATGGAGTACATCGAGATGAAATACTGCATTTAGTAAGGAATTATAAGCCGAATAAAATAAAAGCATCTGCCCTGATGATAAGGATAGTGCTGACAGATCAACTTCCAGTTCATTGCGCGACGATCCCCCCTGCAGAGCAGCGTGAAATTCCACTTTTTGTTTGACAGGGTTCGTAGCGGTCCTTATAAGTCCTTATATTTGAAAATAAGATATAAAGGCCTTTACAGGTGCTTACTATTTTTTTAAAGCCCTTATTTTTTTGTTTTTAGTGCTTATTTTTTGCTTTTAGTGCTTTTTTTTTTTTTTTTTTTTTTAAAGGAACGCGCAAATTTTCCCCGTACCAAAGCCGAAACTAAATAAACAACTTTTCTTCCTAATAAAAAATGGAATGTCAGATGGTGAATCATACTCCCGGAAAAAGCTTTTCCCCCTTTCTCTGCATTAACATAACCTTTGGTGTACGTGAAGAGTACAGACAGGTGCCCATCGTTGTGTTGGTCAAAGAATTGCAAAAGCAGTAGAAAATTCTGGTACATTCAGCATTCTTTTCCTCTCACCCAAATACTACACACGTTTGAATTTCTATCAAGATCTTAATAATTTGCATTCTCGTTTCACTTGGTCAGTTCATATTTGTGTTAATTATGATCGCTATGCCTATATTATGAGCATATGTATGAATGTTTATAATAACATAGTTGCAGTAACTGCTGAAGTATAGTAAACTTCCAAAAATGGTTGTGTTTTAACACAGATTAGCTTTCTAATTAATAATATTTGGAATGGCTTAAATAAAGGGAAAGTAATCGAATAGTCAAAATAATTCCATTTTTTTTTTTTTGGCCAATACATTATACAGTACGAAGGTTGGGAGGTTCTTCCATTTCTCCGCAAAATCTCGAATATTGAAACTGTTACAGTTCGCTGCAAAACAAGCAATGGACCTCTTTTTTTTGGGGGGGGTGTCACTTTCCAATCTGGATTGAATAGGACTAAAAGTTCTGCGGTCTACCAACCCAAGCGAAGAATGATTCTATTCCGGAAATTTAACGCAATCTGTTGAAAATTAGAATGAAAAAGCACCCCAGATTGGTAAGTCTCTTTCTTTATTTAGTTCTTTATTCTCCCAATACCGGCAGCTGTTGAATCCGATTGTGTAATATCATGTAGGGAAGAATTACGGTGCATGTATGGCGCAATAACGTTTGCGATATTTTGCAGAGGTAATTAATTTTGATGTTCGTTTTGCTTAGGAACACTTAAAAGAGTTTTACTGTGCTTGCTAAGCAGAATATTTTTCTGTTCCGTTGGTTTGTTTTTATATGATGCACATATCGAAATGTCAAAAGCATTACGGCTACAGTCTATCCCCCTCCACTCCTCTTTTTCAAGTTACGCTCGACTGTCCGAATATTCGCCAATTTTCAAGTATGCGGGTAGTTAAGCTTTTACTGTTAAAGGATGACTGCATGAAGCAAATTTCTGTCTTCCGATTTCAGAAATGTTCCTGTGTTTTACTTAAATTACTTGGCTTGCAATATCTGTTAAGGGAAAACCGATATACGATGAAAATTTAGAAAATGTTCAGAATTTAGATTTAAATTAGTTAAATAATAATATGAGTGGAAAAATAAATTGTATTTATTATTAAGTTCCAAGCGAATAGAATAAATATGCCTTATTATTTTTTATTTTCTATTTTGAACTGAAATTTCATCATTAAATCTTGTAATATAGTTTAGTTCTGCATAGTTTTTTTCTCTCATTGTAAACTAGTTCTGTAAATTGAACTGTTATTTAAAATAAAATAAAAAAAGTAATTATTTTCCATGGTTGAGGTAATGCTTATTCTCTCTTAATAAATACTGCATTTCTCATATTTTAAATTACAAGTCTAATTTTTGAAGTTATGCAGTTGTGTATAATGTAATTAGACAGGTGCTTATTTTTTTTTTTTTTTTAATGTGTTTGAAAAGTGTTTATAGGTGCTTATTTTTTAACTAAAATGTGGCTATGAACCCTGGATGAACATCAAGCTTTCGCTTTGTAGATCCTTTGGCAGCTCCAGAATGAGAAATTCCTTTTGACATAATCGAAAGTTCAAGCTTACTTTTATAAAATTGCTCTAACAGTCTGCAAAAAATAATAAGCGAGATCCAATTAGAAAATTAAGGAACAACGCAATCTGCAACATTAACTGAAATAGATCATTTTAGCCTAGTTTATACCGTCCGTTATACATTAAACGCACATGCATAAACATATATGCGCATGCATAAAGTTATTATGCGTTTACACATGCGCAGAAAGTTTGTAGCTTTGTGGTCCAGATTATAGATCTACAACTGCTGGACCTGGGATGATCACAAGTGAAAAACAAATTGTTTTATAATTAAGGAAGGTTATAACTATTGGTTGAAGTAGGATTCTTCGAATAAAGCCTTATAAAAAGTAGTGGCATGAAAAAAATTTGGTTTTTTAATTAATTTTTGAACTTTTATCAGCTATTTAAAAAAATCAGTAATGGAATATGTCTGCTCATTGATATTGGATTGTATGTTCTAAATCATGAACAACTGCAATATTGAACCTTAACATATTTAATTATAATATATGGTATTTTCTCCATCCTTTCTGCATGCCTTCATGGTAGCACACTTGGTACGTATTCGAGAGGCCCAGGTTCAAGTTCCGCAAGGGCATTGCACATTTTTCACATCTCCGTGCGTAAAAAGGACCTAATGACTCTAGAGTGGTGCCGAATTAAAAGGTGATGGACGATAATTCATCACCATCAGAATTTGGTGATTGGGTCCCTTAATTTCCAATCACCTTTTTAAAAGGGGGAGTATATAAAGTATTTTCTCCCTCCTTTCTGTGGGGTTTCATGGTTTAATGGTAGCACACTCGGCACATATTCAAGAAGTGCTGGCGAAGGCATTGCACATTTTTCACATCTCCTGCTTAAAAAAATCCTGATGACTACAGTAATAATAATAATAATGCATGGAAAGATCAGTAATTATTAATAACATTTAGAAAAATACTGACAACATGAATCAAAAATCAGCATTAGTTGCACGAGAGTAATTATATAACCCATGAACTTTCAGCATTAAATGAATCATTAGCTTTAAAGTTGAGTTCTTAGTTCTGTCTGTTAAGATGCTAGTATATATATCTTAAAAAACTGAATTTTAAAATTCAAAATTCTATGCATGTTTGAAATTGGGCCATAATCTCTAAAATCAATGCATCTGGTTAATTTAGGTACATCTTACCCACAATTTTGATTGGAACACGCTGTGAACTATGTCAGCAATTTTAAGCATATTTTTACAAAACAAGACTTAATAGCTATCAAAACATGATATAGCAGGCATGGGTAAAAAGGTTCATATTTTTCAGTGTTCACTATGCTTTTTATGGCCTTGATGATCCAGGTGACTGCTTTTATGATTGATGGCTATGCTTTTGTAGCTAAGTTATATGCTTACCTTCAAGAATCTTATTACCAGTTGGCATCATCTTTGTTAAATTATATCCAGTGTTAGCATAATTCAGTATATGTCTCATAACATCAGAGATTTTAATTATTTGACTATGGAAAAGTATACTAGAATTGTCTGGCTATGAGATGGATGCATTAGTAAAAACTTTTTAAGGCAAACTTATTTGTATTTATGTTACACATGAAGAATACTATGAAAACTTTATGGAGTCAACCTATATGTCTCATAACATCAGAGATTTTAATTATTTGACTATGGAAAAGTATACTAGAATTGTCTGGCTATGAGATGGATGCATTAGCAAAAACTTGTTAAGGCAAACTTATTTGTATTTATGTTACACATGAAGAATACTTATGAAAGCTTCATGGAATCAACCTATTCAAAGAAAGAAATTAAGTAAACTATCACTAATTTGGGATTTTAGTTAATTGACACAATGATCCCTTAAGTATTAATACTAGTAGATCAACAAATTTTGTTGTGGTCTAAAGGTGGTTCTAAAATCTTCAGTCACAGTTACTAAAAGATCTTCTGGTTTACTTATGCTTAAAGTAAAAGATCATCTGCAGTATCTCAACCTCGACCTCTTTTGGTTAACAATTTTCCACCACTGCATGTCTTGATTTGATTATTGCAACATTGATTATTATAGAATGCTTGTCAGATTGCTAGACATTCTGTACTAATTATAGGCTATTTTTGAAGAGACTAGAAAAGTATAAATTGTGTAAAACCAGTAGCTTGTTTCACCAAAAGCCTCTTTCAGGTTTTAGAATGTGTTTTATAAAACTTACAGAAATTTGACCAACAAATTAATTTTAATTGCTCAAATGAAATTACATTCAGTGTGATTATAGTATAATTACAAGCATATTCTGCTTAAGGACAAATGAACTAACTGACTAGCAGTATATTAAAAAATGTCATAAACAATCATTCATGACCCTAATTTTGTTTCCCAAAGCCCGTTCTGGAGTTGCTATTGTTGTGCATTTGACAAGTAAAGAGTGCACATTTTAATAAGACTGAAAAGAGAGAGAGAGAGAAAGAAATTTAGTTCCCCCCTTTTTTAATTAATGCCTATATGCTGTTTTTAGAAAGGGAATTTAAAATTGCAAACATCCTACCAAAATAAATTAAAACTGCATATATAAAAAGAAATCATTTTGAATATCTTAATTGTTCTTTCCATAAAGTTAAGAATACTATTGAATGTTTAATTTTAGTTTCCTCCTTATGCAACTAATGAAATTGGGCGAGTTGGTGCTTATGGTCGTAGAGAACTAGGCCATGGAGCATTAGCAGAAAAAAGTTTAAGACCTGTTCTGCCATCTGATTTCCCATTCACGACACGCTTGACAGCAGAAGTTCTTGAATCAAATGGTAAGTTATATATTATATGAGCAAGTTATATAATATAATAAAAGAAATTCTGAATTTATTTTCATTAGTGCATTGCTTTATAGAAGACATTTTATGAATTGCCTCTACTCATGTAGCACACAGGTAAAATTGATGTGGCTCTGTCATATGAAATTAATGTTTCTAAAATGCTGTTAGTCCAAAGATATTTTTTAAATAGATGGCAAAATTGATAGCATAAATTGTTACTTCAGATATAATGTAAATTTTTGTATAATTTTACATAAATATTCATAAAAAAATTATTAATATATGAAAAAAAAATTTTTTTAATAATCAGCATCTAATAAAGTGATAATTTCAAGGGGTCCATGACACTTACCCGACGGGACACTTTACTGACATCAGTTAGCCGACATGGACACTTAGCTGACGGGTCATTTAGCCAACACGAACAGTTAGCCGACATGGACACTTAGCTGACAGGATATTTGGCCGACACAGAGAGTTAGCCGTCAGGACATTTAACTACGGGACAAGACATTTAGTCAACAGGATACTAAGCCGACAGCGACATTTAACTGGCACGCACCCAATAATTATTTAAACTTACTATCAATTACAAAATCTCTCGACTTCTCCATAAGTTCAATATTTAAGTTATTTTTTTCACTTATCAGTAAAATTCATTTTTCGATTCTTAAAGATCTTGTATGTGCTTTTAATTATTGTGTTAATTTAGCATTGTTTGATGTGTATCATGCTGTTTGGTGTATATTGGACAAATTGAAAAAGCTCTGAAATTTCTTGTCAGGGAATATGAATTAAATTTCGAAAGGAAAAAAGAATTTTTTTAACTAATAACATTTTAATATGGGATCTTCAAAAATTATCCATAAAGCTTCTTCATTTAATCAGTTAGGTTCTTTTGATCATTAATAATTTTTCTTGTTTACTTAATATTGATTTTCCAATCTCTCTCTTCCAAATGTTTTCAAATTTCTAACACCTTTACGTTTCATTACTATTTTACTCAATACATCATGTTACACTCTTTCCATTACAAAATCATTTCACTCCTCCCACTAATAAAATTTCCTTTCCCTGTCATGAAAAATCTGAATACTGTAATAAAAATTATTGTTATTCTTGAATTATACTTTTTATAGAAACATACGGTAGTGAAGGGTTAGTTTCGCAAATATATTTTATTTTGTTATTAAAAAAAATTTTAAAAAGTGAATTTTTAAGACAAGCAAAGGTATAAACTATTTGTGACCTCTATAATGAGCTGTTCATGCCACCCTTCTTGAGATAAAAATTCTGTAACATTTTATTGACCACGCGGACCTGCTCCGATTTCCCCGCTGGAACTAGCTGATAGTTGACACTCTGGTTGTCCTTAGAGGATTAGATCAATATAGCTTATTAAAGCCCAATTGGGCTGATATGCATAAACAATTTGCATTTAAGCATTGACCACACCTCTCTCTTAAAATACTTGGGTTAATATTTATAGCACTGAACTGGTACATAATGTTTAATTTAGAAGTAAAATATTCTTTAAGTTTTTGTTTTATTCATAACTGAATACATTTCTGCAAAAACTACATTTTTCACTCCTTATATATCGAAAATGTTGCTGATATGAAATTCTGGATGCGCGAAAATCTCCAAAGAAAAATTGGATGAAACTGCAGAAGGGGCCACAAACAAGCAGTACGGAGCAAAGTGAGACATCCTGAAAATTCACCGTAATGTGGTGCCATCTATTGATGATAGATTTAACTAGATCAGTCATGTAACTAAATAATATTATGTACTCTCTTTTGAAAGTCGTGATGTGTAATTTTCAATATAATATGTTATATTAAAGTTTTTCTTATAAAATGTAACTTTTTTCAATATCTGTTTAAAATGTATAAATTTTCATTTCATTTCCCCCCCCCCTCTTTCTTGCTTTTGATTTAGCTACATGGTAAGGAGAAAATTTTTGGTGCCCATTTTCCTGAATGCATTTATAAAGTTCTAGCCTAAAAAGGCAATTTTCATTGGAAGAGACTAGTTATATATTAAGTAAAACGGTCACTCTATTATGCCCAGCAGCGGCCAAGCGGTAAGTCACTGAACACTGGCAGTTCGGTCTGAATTTTGAATCCCGCAAATGGACAGACTGCATGGGTGTTTTCATGGTTTTCCCCAAGTATTACATGTATATAAGTCAGTTTTCCTTAAAAAGTCCTCCACGGAGGTATTCCTCCCCTTAGGCAGATAGCCCTTTGGCTTTGCCATAATTATATAAACCAAGCCTACTTCTGTTAGGTGGCCGCAGGCCACTATGTTTGAATTCCCGTGCCGGAGCCCTATCCCAGATTAATAAATATGCGATGCCTAACGTGTAAATAGCATTTTAGTGGGAAAAAAAAAAAGTAGTTCCAGTGTGGCAAGGAGTAAGGCGAATCACTCTACTTCCTGACAGGGAAAGGAAATTTCATTAGTGGGAGGATCAAAACAACTTTATACGTGAATGAATGTAGTGTGATGTGTTGAGCAAAGTAGTAATGAAATGTGAAAGTATTAGAAATCTGAAAGCATTGGTAAGAGCGAGACTCATTGTCGGCTTAATGTCCTGTCGGCTAACTGTTCGTGTCGGCAAAATATCCTTCAGGTAAATGACCTGTCGGCTAACTGGTGTTGGTTAAGTATCCCATCGGCTACGTGTCCAAACTGATTGTGAAGAGCGAGACTCACTGTCGGCAAAGTATCGTGTCGGCTTAAGTGTCTGCGACCGCATTTCTAGATTATTTTGATCATTCAGAATATTTGAAGATATCCTTTTTGTGAGAGCTTTATAAAATCTAATAGTGTGGAATTTCAGAGCAATGTGAATGCTTAGTATCTTCAAATGAGATATTTGGTGTCTCGCTTGTTATTATATTTATAGGTGCAGCAATGAGAAAAAATTATTTGGTAGTATTTCCTATTTCTATCTTTATAATTGGGTAAAATATGATACTCATCTGTATATATGTATATTGTTATAGATGTCAGACTTATTTTTATGTTTTGTTCACATTCCTCTCCAGTGGCAATATTCTCCAGGTTATTGTTTTTTTAACAATTACTTTGTCTTTTTCCTTCAAAGGCATGTTGATTCTCATAAAAAGTATTGTTTGCACTGATTGCTAATAGTTTATACCCATTGTTTCATAATCTATGTCATGTTTCTATTTTCTAAATGCCATATTTAATAAACTGGTGAATTGTTTTTTAAGTCTGTAATTAAAGTATGTGTAACTGTTTTATTTGGAAAAGCTAGTCACAAGTACTTTTCAGTGAACAGGGGAAAAATACAATTTCTCATTACATTTCATTGCTTAGATTTCTGTAATATTCAAATTATTTATATGGAAAAGCCGTTTAAATATGAAAATTTTATGCAGTATAATGCTTTTTTAGGGTGATTTTAGGAAAGTTTTGATTATCATGTTTCAGTATCTAATAAATAATTAAATGATACATAAAGAAAAATTACTGTTTTGTGCAAATTTGTTACAATTTGCTTATTTATGATTAAACTCAAATTTTTGTGATTATTTCTTAATTTTTATTTTATGTACAGTACAAAGTCTTTAATCCAGAATGATCTATAATCCGGACCTCAAAGCTACAAACTTTATATGCATGCGCGTTTAATGCGCGCATCCACTACGCATGTGCGTAAAGGGAAGAGAGACTGTTTATAGAAGAGAGATGTTTTAAAGGAATGTACATAAATTTATTACATATTAAGTGTTTTTATCGTTAAATTAAGAACCTTTAATGAACTTTACAGATTTTGATTAACCATGTGCCTTCTTAAGATCACATGACTTCTTCTCTGACTGCCTCCATGCCAGCGTAGCACAAGACGAAGAACATCTTTCGTTCTTATTTTACATACTCATGAACTCGCATTTTGAATTTTCGCCTCGTGCGGCGATGTACTAGAAGTATATTTTTTATTTCTTTTAAAGTCAAGCAAATGTTTAAATGGTTATAAATTTCAGGATACTGGTTAGAACTCTTTATAGTTAATGCCAGCTGTAAAGATAAGATCCATAGAAGAAAGAATTAAAGAGAAAGTATTAGCACAAAAAACGAAGCAACTTAAACAACTTACATTCAAAGAAATGTTTAATAAAGTAAACAAATAATTACTAAGCCTTTTTTTTTTGTGTGTGTGTGTGCGCGTGCGTGTGTGTTTAAATTTTGATACCCTTTAGATCATAATTGCTCTTTATTTCATAAATTACAGTTTCATATTTTTTATTTTATAATTTCTGCATACTATCTTACCAGATTTAAATTGATGATCTGTAATCCGGAAGAACCCCTAATCCGGAATCACCGAAGTCCCGATGAGTCTGGATTAAAGACTTTGTACTGTATTAATTTTTTATAATTAGAGATATTCTGAACACTTAAGGGAGAATTAAAACTCTGCATATTTTTGAGCACATATAATATAATTAAACTATTTTGTAATACAGGTTCTTCATCAATGGCTTCTGTCTGTGGAGGTAGCTTAGCTCTTATGGATGCTGGTGTACCAATATCAGCTCCTGTTGCTGGTGTAGCAGTAGGATTAATTAGTGTACCAAATACTGAGAAACCATATGAATTTATGGATTACAGAATACTTACTGACATACTGGTATAAAATTTTTTTAATTTTTAGTATCTGCTACTGAACTGTTAGAACCAAATCAAATGATTAATTCAGAAGTTTATAATGAACAACTTTGCTATCTAAATTCAGAATTGATCACAAAACGCCCACGATTGATGAATATCAAGAATACTGTCTGTCATTCTCTGCTAACTAAAATAAAAAAGTGGGAAATAGACTTCATTGTTTTAGCATAGTTTTATTTCTTTTATGAAGCATCTTATTTTTTAAAGCATTAATTTTGCTTAAGATTTTATCAATTGTTACTTGAGACTGTTCAGTTGTTGTTATTCATTATAACTCATTCAGTTAGAGTTATTTATATGAGACTTTTATAAGTGTTAAAAAAGAAGTGGTCAGTTAGTGGGCTGTTTGTATATTTTCGTAACCTTTACATTCACTGCTAAGCATTTTCATAAATTGTTTGAAAATTAGTTTACAGGTTTTTATTTTTCAACTGCATTTCATTTGAATATTTGTTTTAATTTATATTTTACCAGGGCATTGAAGATTATTTAGGTGATATGGATTTTAAAATGGCAGGAACTAAAAAAGGCATAACAGCAGTTCAAGTAAGAGTAAACCAGTTGCCTAAATTTTTTGCTAATGAATAATATAAATATATGCATTTATTGTATTTGTGTTAATATTTTGATTTCCTTTTTTTAAACAAAAAAATTGCCCTATATAGATATTGGTTCTTATTAAATGTAATTAATTATTTTCTATTATGAAGCCAAACATAAAAAATTGTATTTAAAAATAAACTCTCTTAAAGGAATGTTTAAATGTTTGTAAAGGAAATAGAGAAGTGGATTGTTTTCTATTTTTTATTTATTTTTAAAAATTTGTTTTATTTTATTTCTTAATTGTAGAACCAAGCATTTTATTATATCATTAAAAATAATGTGTGCGTATGCATGTGCCTGTAAGATTTTAAAAAAATTAAATTTGGGATTACTCATTTTATTTTGGCTATGTCCTCTTCATGTCTTAAAAATACTAAGTTATGAATCTAAAGTGCACCGTCTGAAAATTAATACATTTCATGTGTCCCTTTTATAATCCAGCTGCAGTGCAACACCCCTCAGCTAGTCAGATTACAGAAATAATTTACTATATATCTAGTGCTCTGCTATTTCATTCCCTTTTTCCCTACTTAGCCCCTGCTAGCCATTCTCTCTATTTGTCTAGAAAATGTAATCGTTTTAAATTTACATCCCTATAGTGCTGCATAGCACCCTCATAGTGATGATGTGTAATAGAAAAGAATATATATGTGTAAGAAGAGTGGGATGCATAGCACCGCTATAATGATGATGTGTAATAGAAAAGAATATATATGTATATGTGTAAGTATTTTACTTACAAAGAATATGTAAAATATCTGTGAAAATTATGTCTGCATTTGTCTTCAAGTGCCATCCTTTTAACTGTGCAGTAAAGCCTCTCCAAGTTATTACAATGCAAAGAACCATCTTCACTATCACATCAAGCTATTCTCTAAATCAACCCATTACAATAAGAAATCATCTTTGAGAAAAGTTCCGTTTCATCGAATATTTTAATTCAAGTCTATGCCAAGCTTATTAATTTTATTTGCTACATTCATAATCAAATACTCACTCTTGCTCTACCCAATATCTAAGAATGAAAAAAAAAATTCGTCATCTGTGATATGTGCTTTAAAGGTGTGGTTAACTACCAGTGCTTCAAAACTTACTTGGAGTCTTTCAAATAATCTTCAAAGTGTTTAAAAAGATTTACCATTACATTCATTAATTTATGTTAATAAGAAGTCTTGATATTGAAAATTAGCTGAGATCATCAGTCATAAATGCAATTGATTCTGCATGCGTGCATGATGAAAGTGAAACAAAATTCAAATTTGTGCATATTATTATTATTATTATTATTATTACATGCTTTAAAACTCTGGAATTCTGATTTTGCTATTTAATTTATACATTAGATAATCCAATTAAAAATGTTTTGATAATCATAAAAAAATGTATATGATATGAATTACTTCCAAATTTAGATGTTTAAAACTATTTTTTCTTATTATGTAGAATTTTAAAAGTGTTGCACAGTTTTATGAAAAAAGTATTAGATAAAAATTTTATGGTGTCAGAATTCAATTTTAAAAAATTATATTTAATAAACTGAATAATTAATTTAATATATTTAAATTATTTTATTTATGGAAGGTTATTAAAAATTACTGTATTTATAATTAGAAATTTGGATTATTGTTCAAAAGTTTTTAATTATTTCAATAATTTTGAAATTATTTTGAGAATGAAATAAATATGAATATAAATAAAAAATGAAATAATTTCAAGTATTAGTGTGGAAAAATATTATTAAATTTTCCTTTTGACTGTCAGTGTAAAATATGAAAACTAATATTGAATGTTGTTCTATGTAATCAGTAATTATATGCAAAAATAGAATATATTAAGATGTACTTTGAGGGCTTCCACTTTAAGGCTAATTTAATTTATAATAAAAAGTACTAATTTCTTCATATAACTAACTGCCTATCATTCCTTTAACCATTGGGGAATTAATGCATCAATTCATTAATGTGAATTTGCCTAACAGTTGAATATGTTTGTTTTTTAGAGTAAGCTGTGGGGGTCTTCCAGTTTTATATGAAATAAGAAAATTAAAAGTTTTAACAATAATAAAAAGCATCGTTTCAGTAATACTATTTCAAATTATATTAAAGTGCAATTTATAATAATAAAAATTAGTTGTAAAACTTTAAAATTTGTTGTTATTATTTTAAAATAAGTAATGGTCATCAAAATGTTTATATTTGTGATTTTGTGTGAAAAGTTTTGAAAAGCCTTCCTTGAACAAATTACGAAGATTCTTAACTTCATTATGGCTAACTGCTCTCAGTCTGGCTTCTTTTTATCTATTTATTTTTTCTTTAAATTATTATTGTAGGATGATGTAAAATTTCTTTTTAGTTACTAAATTTGTAAGACCTAACTTGAATATGCAAGTTATTTGTCTTAGTTTGAGTTTGAATTTTTGTATATTTATTTATTTATATTTAAGGACATATTTGAAGATTTTTATGGTCATAAATCAGGAAAAGAAACTTTGATATATTTATATAATGCTAAAAGCTTGTAAAGTTCATTTTACATTGTTCTTTAATAAGAAATTGTGAATTATTAAAATAAGTAAATATTTAACTTTAGTAGAATTTCCTGGATGTGTAAAAGAAAATTTTTGGTTCTATATTGAATACAGTGATTTCTACAAGACGAATGAAGATAAGTACTGTTAAGCATATATCATGATATTTAAACAAAGATTTTTCAAAACGTGTGATTATTTTTCTAATAATTTGTTGCAAACTTTTAAAATTAGACTGAAATCTTCAAATTTCAGAACTCTAAATTTTGTATCTGTTACGTTGAAACACTGAAGTCTGGAGAATGTCGACTTTCACTGGTGAATGTCAACATTCACATAGTCTCTTGGTGTATGTCCGAAATATTTTCCAAATACTCTTATTTCTAACTTACACCGGTCAATGTTGACATTCACCGTGTACTAATGGTGAATGTTGAACATATAACAATATTATATATTCTTCTCCATAATTCACTCGCGAGAAATAAGAACATGAGAACCTAAAACACACAATACATTCAAAATGAGAAAGGAAAATAATAGAAATTAAAAACTTACTTAATTATACACTACATTCTAAATGAGAAAATAACATGAGAACCTAAAACACACAATACATTCAAAATGAGAAAGGAAAATAATAGAAATTAAAAACTTACTTAATTATACAGTACGTTCTAAATGAGAAAATAAAATAACAGTAATAAAAAACTTACTAAATTATGTGATTCAAATCTTATTTATTGCAACAACTTAAACTATTATGGCATTTTATGACCTCTTTTTTCGACTTTCACCAGAGCATATCTGTGATTGTCGACATACACCGGTGAGGGTCTGAATATACAAGAATGTAGTGAAATATTCAGTCTTTCACCGACGTATTTGGTGAATGTTGATATTCTCCTGTGAAAGTCAACATTCTCCAATTTTGGTCTTTCACGGTAACATATCCATTAGTCCAGATAAATTAAAATTTTGGCCCCAACCACGAAAATTTTTTTCTCTTGTTTTGCTAATGCTGTCTTCTTAAAAGGCTTTTTTACCGCTAAGCCTTTTTCTTTCTGAAGGGGAGATATGAAAGATTAAAAAAATATATAATTTTTAATTACTCAGTTTCATTTGGCCACATCACCTTCTTGTCTTAAAAATACTGAGATATGAAGCTAGAGTGTATCTTCTGGAAATTAATGGATTTTATTTCTCTTATTTAATTAAGCTGTAGTGTAACATCTTACAGTCAATCAAATTAAAGATATAATTTAATATATTTCTATCACTTTGCTGTTGCGTACCCCTTTTTTCTGCATAGCTTGCTGCCAATTAGGCATGTCACTTAGCTTCTGCTAGCTATTGTCCATTTTTTTGAAAAATGTAATCCATATAAAATTGTGAGGATGCATAGTGCACTTGTAATAATAATTACTTCTGGAAAAGAAAATGTGTCCTTAGAGGTAGTTATAAAGGAATAAAATTATGTGTGAAAGTTATTGCTATGTCTGTCTTCAAGTGTCATCCTTCTGATTACAAAGTAAAGCCTCTCCAAGTTATAACAGTCCAAATAACCATCATTAAGCCATTGCAGCTAACTTGGACTGAGTTGCTAAAATATTTTTTTAATGCAATATATATAGAGAGAGATAGATAAAGAAGTAATATCATTATTATCAGACTCAAAACTTTATCAAAAGGAAGAATCTTTCAATGGCATACTCTTTATCTGGCAAAACAGTTACGTTTCTGTCCTTTTCAAATCAGCTGATGCACTGAAATGAATTATTTTAAATAATTTGTACTTGCTTACATTTTTCTTATATAATTATTTCTGTATGCAGTTAAGCCATTTTGTGAATTTTTTGGCATAATCTATTTGTATAATTTATTTTTTTTATTTGTTTTATTTTTATGTATAAATTTGCATTTATTCTTTTCGAGTAATTGGTATTATTTTACTTTTGTTTTGGCAAAATTGTTATGCAAGGAATGCATTTCTAATTTTCAACGGTACATATAATTCAAAATAATTAATTTCAATGCCTCAGCTCATTTGAAATGGACGGGAGCATAACTGTTTTGCCAGAAAAAGAGTATGTCACTGTTCAAATTACTTTTCCAAATCAAGCCTCCACTAATTTTTAATTTGATTTTTTTTTCAACTTTTTATTGTACTTTGCCTCTTTTGTATGAATTTAAAATAGTAAATAATTATATATATAAACTATTGCTAGAATAATTTCTTTAAAATTGATTCGTCATTCAGTTATGCTTTATTTATGTAAGCCTTTATCCTTATATCAAAAATAAAATGTAATTGTACATATAACGAAGCTTTAATCCAAAAACTTTAAAAAGCAGGCTAATACGTAAATAAAATGTGAGGTGTCAAATTCATCATAGTTATAGAATATTTTATTGTTTTTAGCTAGATACGAAAGTTCCTGGTCTCCCACTGAAGGTAGTAATGGAAGCTCTTTTGCAAGGGTCAGGTAAATATAGGCTATTAAAAGTAAAAATATTGTTTAAAGTAGTGGGAATTAAAAAAAAAAAAACTGTTATCCTCACTAAGTTACTGTCTTATTGTATCATAGAAAATATTTATGTGACATGTATTGCTGCATATTTAAATTCATTTGAATGTTAAAATATCATTCAGTGTTTTTTTAGCATGTTACAATGATACATGATACAAAACAATAATACGTTTAGATGATTTTGTGGGTTTAATAGTTGTTAACATATTAGGAGTATTTTGGAAATGTTCAAAATCAAATATCTTATCAACACCTTTGTTGCACCTCCAGATTTCTTTATTTAAAATCATCCTTTATTTATTTCAAATGATGTAAAAGTTCAAATGAATGCTGTACCCTCTGAAAAATCAAGGACAAATAGTTTTCTTGTAGGAATTATATGAGAAAAAATGCTTTCTAAGCAATAATTCTGAAAACACAGATGGAATTTAAATTTTTTATGTCTTAGAACTATTTAATATTTTGGAAATTTTTTTCTCATAGAGTTAACACAGGAGAGAAAATTTTAAATCTGATATCTCGTCAATCCCTTTGTTACACCAGCAGAATTCCCCCCCTCCTTTTTTTCTGTATTTAATTATCCTTTATTTATCTTGGCTGCTTCAAAAGTCTAAGCAAATATTCTATCCTCTCAAAATCATGGGCATATATTTTTCAGGTAGGTTTCTGACAATGACTCAAATTTTGCTGTGGGATTACATATCCAACCAGCTATCAGAGTAATATGGACATTCCTCATTCCACAACTAGATTTCTGTTTCTATTACAGCTGCAAATGAATGGGAGCCACAATCATTTGCTTTCCTCAAAAGCATGCAAATGAGGAGCCCATTCTTTACTGCCTTCAAAGACTTCCAAGATAGATTTTTTTCAGTAAATTGTTATCTCCACTTCAATTACAGCTACAAATGAACAGTAACCATAATCATTTGATTTTATCAAAAGAGTGTCAAAATGGAGCACTTTATTTAGTACTTCCACAGACTTGCAAGGCTGATTTTCTTCAATAAGGTGCTATCTTCGTTTCTATTCCAGCTGTGATCTGCATTCATTGATTTTCTGCAAAAGGGTGCAAATACATAGCCTAAACAAGGATTTCTCTCAAAATGATCAAGACTAGATTTTGGTGGAGAAATGTGTTCATCATAGTTGATTCAAATTTTGTCATGCTGTTCTCTATATAGCCAGCCAGTAGAGCAGTGTAGATGTTCGCTGTATCCCAGTAGATGTGATGATACACTGGATGGAAAAGCAGTGAGCATAAAAATGTTTTCTTTTCATCAAATGGATAAACATGATTAGAATTTGGGTACAAAATTATGTAGATTTAATTCAGCAGTATTAATGTTTAATGATTAATTCAGAATGCAATGCAGTGAGCACTCTGTAAGAAAACTTCCCAGTTCTAGCTGGCTTATGAGAACTATAAATTTTGTTCTTAGAGACCTCTAACAGTTTTCCTCCAAAGGGATATTTTCAATATGTGGATTTGTTTTATGCCGTTAGAAATACTATTTGTTTTCAGATGTACAGTGGTGGCCAAAATTGTGGACATTTTTGGAAATTTTTATGTTTTTGAACTTTGTATGCTTATAGAAAATCTTAAGTTTCCCAAAATGCAAACTTGTATATATCATTTTAAAGAGAATTTATTACTGAATTCAATACAAAACACAAAATTCAATTATTTGCAATACAAAAAAATTTAAACGATAATAGTTATCGATATACATTAGATAGTGATAATTGCAGTGCGTTATCAGTACTTAGTAGGGTACCTTTATTTTTTATTACAGCTTCACATCGACGTTTCATTGAGCTGACAAGAGTTTTAAGCTCTTCTTTCGTTATTACATGATGCCAGGAAACAATTATAGCCTCAATTAGTTCCCTTTTATTTGATGGGCGCCTCATTCGGACAAGAGTTTTCAAACGGTGCCACAAATTTTCGATAGGATTGAGGTCAGGACTGTTTCCTGGCCATGACAACAATTTAATGCTCTTTGTACGAAACCACTCTTTCGATATTTTGGCCATGTGGCAAGGAGCAGAATCCTGCTGAAAATTAAACGAAGTGGGAAAGAAATCTCTGATGGAAGGTAGAAGTTTTGGTTCTAGAATAGTGTCAATGTATTTTCTGGCATTCAGTGTCCCATCAATGACATGAAGGTGACCAATACCATCTGCTGACATGCATGACCAAATCATAACACTAACTGAGTTCTTCACAGTTGCTTGAATGCAGTCAGGATGTAGCTCTTCTCCTATTCTACGTCTTACATATTTTTGCCCATCACTACCGAATAACGATATCTTAGTTTCATCACTCCATATAACTTGTGACCACTGATCATCTGTCCAATTAATGTGTTCCTTTGCCCACTCTAGTCTTTTTTTTTTTTTTTTTTTTTTTTTTTTTTTTTTTTTTTTTGTTTGCTGAAAATTAAGATAAGGCTTTTTTCGTGGAATTCTACCTCTCAGTCCAACATCTGTTAATCTTCTCCTGATTGTTCTTGAACTGACAAACACCAACATCATTCAGATCACTTCTGATGGCCGCTGATGACATTTTTCTATCTTGGAGACATAGTCTTTTTATTCTTCTGTCATCAATAGATGTAGTGCACCGTTTTCGGCCTTTTCCTTCTTTGTTTTTTATTGAATTTGTCTCCTGATATCGTAAACAAAACTTTCTGACTCCAGATGTAGTCACTGAACCACCCACCTGTCTTGCAATTTCAGCATAGGAAAGACCACTTTCTCATAACACAATAATATTACATCTCTTCCTAGGTGTCCAATCTACTGTTTTATTTGATTTCATTGCTTTTTGACCAAATATTAAAAATTTTTACAAAAATTACTACTTGCAATTGCAGTGTATGAGAAACAGGTCCTCCTTCTACAGAACAAAGCAAAATAATGAATTGTTTCAAGTGTAAACATGACGTCAGCTTCTACTGGCAGTTACTAACATTTGATTGGTTCTCAGAACAAGAACAGTGATTGGCCAAGAAAGCTAGACATTACAAACCACTTCATAACTGTGTTTTTACTTCCATGTACGAAGTAAAAAGGAAGTATTGTAATCGCGAAAAGCTTCAGGCAGCATATTTCAACGAAAATATTTACTTTGACAGCTTTCGAATGCAATTTAACGATGTTTTTGCATGATATCTGTACATAAGGACAGAATAAAAGACTCTTTTCCTCCAAAAAAACTAAAAATTTGCTTTAAAATGAATTCTGAAGAGAATTTTTCGTGACGTCTGTACGAACGTGCGTACGTACCTCGCATAACTCAAAAACGAGTAGCCTCAGAACGTTGAAATTTTGTATATAAGACTGCTATAACATGTAGATGTGCACCTCGTATTTTAGTTTCATATCCACTCTGTTACCCGGCTCAGTGATCTCAGTTTCTTTACTCTTATATGTTTGTAAATTGTACATTTTTTGCTTTAAAAATGATTGAATTATGTTGTTTTTATCTTCCGGTTAAGGGTTTTATGCCTTTAGTAAATCTGTATGCAATATTTTTAGAATTATCAACAATTTTAAAGTTGTGTTTAAGTGCCGCTAAGCCTTTTTTTTTTTTTTTTTTTATGGCGGCCATTGCTCTTGTTTACATTTGAAACAGCTGAGTAGCGGATTTGTTGCCAATCTAGAGAAACTTAGCTTCGCAACAACAAAGATAACGCCTTCATTTATTGTTTAAATCATGCTTAATCCTTTCTGGAATTTTTTTGAGGAAATGAGCGTTTAAGGTTTACTTCGTAATCTTTAATACAGATATTTTAAGTTTTTATGTATTTTCACCTTGTCACGAAGTGAAAACTGAATTAATTGAATGAGAAATACTCAATCGTTTGTGAAAAACTGTTTCTTTTTTGTTTTGTTTGCTTAATTTATTTTATACATAGTTCTAGCTTTGTTATAGTATTTGAATAGAACATGTGGCAACAATTAGATAATTCTTTAAATGATATAAATTGTATGCATTCTGAGTTATAATATGAACGAAATATAGTACCGTTAAGTAAACCTAGCGCCAGAGTGTCGCTATGGTAAACAAAGAGAATTTTAAAAAATGCATTTATTCTATTGTGATTTATGCGCTGTCGGCGAAGTAGGTTTAATTCAATCTAATAAGTTTAAATAAAATGCAAGAGAAAATGTGTACAGTCAAAAGTCTTTAATCCGGACTCGTCGGGACTTCGGCGATTCCGGATTATAGATCATCAGTTTAAATCTGGCAAGATGGCATGCAGAAATTATAAAATTAAAAATATGAAACCGTAATTTATAAAATAATGAGCAATTATGATCTAAAGGGTATCAAAATTTACAAAAAAAAAAGCTTAATATTTATTTGTTTACTTTATTAAACATTTCTTTCAACGCGCGCATGCTTACCTTACGCATAGCCGAAATTAGAAAATTGCAACCAGAAAACTATTTGATTTGTATTCGTGATATTTATAATGACGAGGAATTTGATTTAAATCATATCAAAGACGGAGTACATCGAGATTAAATACTACATTTAATAAGGAATTATAAGCCGAATAAAATAAAAACATCTGCTCTGAAGATAACGATAGTGGTGACAGATCAACTTCCAGTTCATTGCGCGTCGCAACGTCCCCCCCCCCCACGCAGAGCAGCGTGAAATTGATAAACAGATTTCCGAACGGTTAGATAAACAAAGGATATACCTTTATCCTATTTTTTGTAGCAATTCGTTTTTTGTTTGATGGACATCGAATCATACTTTCGTTTTCTAGATCCTTTGGGAGCTCCAGCGTCGGAAATTCTATTTGACATAATCGAAAGTTCAAGCTTACTTTTATAAAATTGCTCTTACAGTCTGCAAAAAATAATAAGCCGGATCCAATTCGAAGATTAAGGAACAACGCAATCATCAACATTAACTGAAATAGATAATTAGATAATTTTAGCTTATGCCGTCCGACGCGAAAACGTATTCTGCACTTGCGCAGACGCATGTAAGCAGTCGTAAATGTCTTGCGCGGACGCGTAAAACGCCTATGAGCATGCGTCAACGCGGCGCATGCGCAGAAAGATTTTAGCTTTGAGGTCCGGATTATAGATCATTCCGGATTATGGGTGTCCGAATTAACGACTTTTGACTGTATAATGTAATATTCCGTGCAAGGAAGTCATCTGGTGTACACATCTGATTTTTTATTTATATTAAAGTACATATAACTTTTTTTTGTATTGCAAATAATTGAATTTTGTGTTTTGTATTGAATTCAGTAATAAATTCTCTTTAAAATGATATGGCCCACCAGCGGCTGAGCATAAGTCCGACCTGTAGTTATCCGAGTTCGTCCGCGAACGGCTCGGCTGTTGTTTTTGTTTACCCTTACGTATATATCATTATCTTAAGTCTCCCGAGCACCCCCCAGCAATACTATGTGCTTGCGTAATAAATACCACCACCTTATGATACTTTGCTTAGATCTTAAGTTTTACTAACGTTTATTTTATTTTAAATCTTTACTATCACTTCTTATTTTCTACTTCCGGCCAGAATTATAAGCGTTAAGGTTTTTTATGCAAAGTTTGTCTGGCGAACGCCAAGTATTTAAGTTGTGGCTTTTTTGCCAAGCGAGAGAGAGGAAGCAGTGAGTCGAAGCAGGCCGCTTACCTTAGAAGTTACGCAGTTGCTGTTTGCCTTCCAGGCCAGAGGTTTTAATCCTCTTGATAAATTTTAAACGTATTGTAGTGTTCACAGTTATCTGTACTACATACGCTTCCTGTTAATATAAGGCCAATCTTCCACGTTTATTATTCTAAAGTTAAATTAGAGTTTAGTTTTATTTTTATACTTTTACGTTAGACCCCAAGTGGCGGGTCAGTGTATTCCGAAGTACGGAAGTTATTGTATATAGAGAAAAATAAAGGGTTTTGTATACCCTTCGTCTGTATCCTGTCTACTTACCACAATTAGTGAACATAGCTTTAGTAAGCTCTCTGTTCCGAGTCAGGTCCTTGTATGTTCCCGAAGAAGGTAAGAAGGAACATTGACCCTGTACTTTGATTAATTTCTTAAGATAAATCAAAACAAAATTCCAAATGTCCACATTTGGCCACCACTGTAGTTGCGATGAAAGAATTACTGTTCAGCTATTACATTATGCTGTAATTATTTTAATAGCTTATTAATTTGTGGGTATTTATTTATTTATTTATCTGAAGAAATAGATATTGATATCTGATTACACATGAATCAGATTATGAAATTTTCTAGTTACTTTCTCTGTCTGTTTTAAATATAAAGTTGTTTAATCTTTAATAATGCTAAAATTTAACTCAAATAATTTGTGTAAATTATTTGTAAAATAGATTTTAATTTTAACAGATCTCCAGGGTCCTGTACAGATTCTGTGTGTACATGGTACAGTCAAAAGTCGTTAATCTGGACTCGTCGGGACTTCGGCAATTCCGGATTATAGATCATAAGTTTAAATCTAGTAAGATGGCATGCAGAAATTATAAAATTAAAAATATGAAACCGTAATTTATGAAATAAAGAACAATTATGATCTAAAGGGTATCAAAATTTACAAAAAAAAAAAAAAAAAAAAAAGCTTATTATTTATTTGTTTACTTTATTAAACATTTCTTTCAATGCAAGTTGTTTAAGTTGCTTCATTTTTTATGTGATAATACATTCTCTTTAATTCTATAAACAGACATAATTTCTTGTTCAGTTACAAAGTTCCTCTGTTCAAGTCCTATAATTGCTGTGTTGAGAATACCGATTAATTTGTCAATCGAAATTTTTTCGTTTTCAATAACCTCTGTCACTTTCTTCGCTATCGGAAGCGAATTATAATGATGAGGAATTTGATTTAAATCATATGAAAGACGGAGTACATTGAGATGAAATACTGCATTTAGTAAGGAATTATAAGCCAAATAAAATAAAAACATCTGCCCTGAAAATAAGGATAGTGTGACAGATCAACTTCCAATTCATTGAGTGCCATGGTATTAAAGATAAACAAATTTTAGATAAAAAAACGTTAAAGTTTATATAAACAAATGATATGCCTTTATCCATTTTTTGCAGCAGTTCCACTTTTTGTTTAATGGACTTTTGCTTTGTAGATCCTTTACATATTAGTAAATATATATCAGAAATTCTATTTGACATAATTGAAAGTTCAAGCTTACTTTTATAAAATTGCTCTAACAGTCTGCAAAAAATAATAAGCCGAATCAAATTCGAAGATTATTGAACAAAGCAATCTGCAACATTAACTGAATTAGATAATTTTAGCTTAGCTTATACCATCTGTTATACCTTAAACGCGCATTCGTAAACGTATTTTGCTCGCGTATTCGCAGCCGTAAAGGTCTTACGCGCATGCATCAATGCAGCGCATGCGCAGAAAGTTTGTAGCTTTGAGGTCCGGATTATGGGTGTCCGAATAAACGACTTTTGACTGTATTTTGTTTTGACAATACTCAGAGCCATCTGTAGCTTGATCTATCAGCTGGAATGCTGTGAAATTTGGTAGCGGGATTTATGGCAGTATGGGAAGAAAGATGCCTTGGGGGGGGGAATTAGTTCCAAAAGTTACCAACTGGGGAAAATGTGGCCATGTTCTAATCAACACAAAGGAAAATTTCCATGAAGCACTGGTAAAATTTGAAAATGCAAATGCTCAATTACATAAAAACAGCACTGTCAGTAATTCATTCTATAAAGATAAGGAGAAAACACTGAAAGACATTCTGAATGTTAGTTGGGTTCAACATATATCTCACTTTCCCTCAGCATGCATTACTTGTGCATTTGTTTTATTTTCATGAATTGAATGCAAACGCCGCTCTTCGAAAGTTTAAAAGCATAACATTCTATGTAAAGCTGCTCTATCAATTAGTGCACTGAATGGCATAATTCAGAAGTTTGAAGAAACAGGATCCTTAACATATCAGTGTGGTAGAGGGTGGAAACTGGTGTTAAAACAGACAGTTACTGATGTTGTGACTGCAGCCACAATTAGGCAGCCTATGGGATAATTGTTGGTAGTAGCAGTGCCCAAGGAATAGCTCTGCAACTGGAATTGAATCTTTCAATGGTATAACAAATCTTGCAGAATGTTCTTCACTTCTCCCCATGCAAGATAAGCCACATGCCGAAATTAAAACGCAATTATGATCTTGCCAAGAGAAAGTCAAGGAGAATTTTGTGGGAAGATGAGGCCAATTTTCACCTGAATGGGACTGTTAACACTAACAGGTCTTGAATTAGGGCCTCTGAACAATTCCATGTAATTCAGGAAATCCCATTGCATTCACCAAAGTCACTGTTTGTGGTGGTTTCACAACAAATTTCATCAGCAGACCATTCTTTTTTGAGAACATTACTCTGACAGGACTATACATACACCTGTACCTTTACCATGCAAAGGCATCGTGATATGATGACTAGTTTTCTAATTCCACAACTTCAGCAGAAGCAATTGCTGTATCAAGTAGCTTTTATGCAGGCTGGAGCACTACCCCACATTGGTCTATCGGTACAATGGCAGTTGCACCATCACTTTACAGAAGAAAGGATCTTAAGTCTTTTTTTTTTTTTTTTTTTTTTTTTTTTTTTTTTTTACCTGCATGGCTACTTTGCTCCATGGACTTATTCTTGCAGGCTTATTGGAAGTTCAAGATCTATACTGGTCCCAACCTCAGCGACCTTAAAGGACAACATCACAGGCTGTGCTGTGCAGTAGAGGTGGCATATTACATTTGGTCATCAAGAATGATGTGTGCACGATGCCAGTGTGTGATCCACAAAAAGGTGGTCATATTGTAGGAGGCCTCTGTCCTCACCAAGGAAGCACTTTTATTAAATAAAGTGCTATCGTGCTCTGAAATATCAGTCTCTGTAATACTTTGGAATAGTTCATTTGCTACATTAAAGCAATGTTGCATTGAACTTTCTTTTTTGTTATTGGTTTGCCTAGTTCTCAGCTGTATCAACTAAAACAGTGTCACATTTTTCCCTATCAGCAACTTTTAGGACTATTTTTCCCACAGTATTTTCTTTCTCGTGTTGTCCTTTGTCACTCTATCGAATTTGGTGGCTTTCTAACTGATATATCAAGTTACAGATGCCATCTGAGTAGTGTCAATTAAAAAAACACCCTGTGTTAAAAAAAAAAAAGAAGAAGAAGAAGAAAAGTATTAAAGCCTTGGCTGTTGATATCTTCTAAGACAATTTGATTGTGAAACGTCTAGGAAAACGAATAATTCTGTTCTATAAGAGATTGCTAATAATGATCTTTGAATAATTTATTTGCTTTTTTTTTTTTTAATAATTTTCTTTTCACTTGTAAATTTTTGTGTTACATTTTCTGCTCTTAGATGGTAAGGATAAGATATTAAACATCATGACAAGTGTAATTTCTAAACCAAGGGAAGAAAATAAAGATAACTGGCCTATATCTGGTATAGTTATTTTACTTTTTGCTACATTTAATTTATGCAGAGTTTTAAATCTTTATGTTTAGAATTAGAAATCTCTCTTTTTTTCTTCTTTTAATGCAGAAAAACTTGAAGTACCTGTACACAAGCTCTCTCATTTTTTTGGATTTGGTGGCTACAACATCAAAAAGCTTAGAAATGATACGGGTAAGTTTTTTTCTACCCCCCCCATTGAAAATATATATGCATTGTATTGTTTTGTATGACTGCTATGATTATAATCTAGCCACAGAGAAAATTATCTCACATATCTGAATTCTTAAGATGCAATTTATTAAATTGAATAGAAATGTAAAATTAAAAAGGGATTTGTTCAAATATGGGAGATGACAGAATGCATTTATCATGAATTGTTGATGTTTTATAGAGAGATTCCAGTTCCCCGTACTAAGTTGGGATCTTTCTATTGAATCAGCGATAATTATGTTGTTTTACTCTTTTATATTACTTTTCATTGGCAATTCCAGTGTATTTATTTACAAATTCCAATTAAAAACTACCGCAATATTGCATATTTGCTATCTAAAGTTCACTTCAAATTTCCTAGGAGATAATTTTTATTTATATTCTCTATTACTTTATAATACTTATATATATATATATACATACACACACACACACATATGTGTGTTTATTTTTAGCATGATGCCAGATTTTATGATTTTAAATGTTAGCGTTCTTTTTAAATGTAGGAATTTTGTTTTGTATTTTGAAAAATGCTAAAAATGAATTTAAATATTATAAATAAATCATAAATTTATATACAAAGCAGAATTGTTACCGATATAAGAAACCCAAAATGAATGCTTCGGCGAAGGCATCCGTCAATTAATACGGCACGAAATTATCTTACATAAAAGTAAGGTAAAGAATCTGAATCCCTTCGTGGATTCTGATTTAGTTCTGAGAGTAGAGTCCAATTTTATTTATTTTGCTAAACATCCGGCAGTTTTACCTAAAGTTCACAAATTTACATTATTCGTTATTGAACATTAATTTTAAATTTAATTTAGTTGAACATTTAAAATTAATATACATATATTTATTATTTTTTTCATGATTTTCGATTCCTCGTGGTAATTTAAAGTATCAAGTTAATTAAACGTCTAGCTTTGTTTTATCTGTAGAATTATCTAGCATTTGATTTTAAGCATAGACCAAAGGCATCTTGAATTTTTTTAGGAATCTTGTGTCATTAAGTTGTGAAGAATATGTAGGCATATTCCTCACATTGTGGATAAACAGCAACACTGAAAGCCACCAAATTTTCAATATATATAGAACTCCACCTGAACATATGCACCCATGCACTCATTTTCTTTCTGTTCATTATTTTTCCACAGGTACTGTTACGGAAACACTTATCTCAATAATAATCACTTATTCGCCACTATAATTGTTTATTATAAACTTAAATATTAAGTTCACATATCGCACACACAGCTCTCAGCCATTCTTTTCATCTCATCTCTGCCGCTTTCTGCTCGGGGCACACTTGCTATTTGAGCATGCCCAAACATGCCCCCGGCATTGAAATGTATACAAAAGATTCAATCACTAAACTGTATGAGAGATTTCATAGTAAATTACAAAGTCTAACACTAACAATTTCGTAACATAGCACTTTAACCATAATACAATACATAACACAAGAAATAATTCTAATTGAAAATTCACCTATACACAATGTAAAACAATATCACTATACTCTTAACATATAACAATTTCCTTTCAGGCATAGGAAAAACACAGATTTTGGAAATACATCTTTTAAATTACCTGCTTTAGTTTAATTTTAACAACGCAAAATTTTTTTATCATCACCATAATACACATCAGTTATTCGACCTACAACCCATTTGTGAGTAGGTACATTATCCTCTACCAATTAGGCTAAATTTCCTATGTAAATATGATCTTTTTCAAAACTCCATTTATTTCTTTGTTGCAGTTCATTTAAGTAACTATGGTGCCATTTTTATCAAATCAACTGCTCAATTCTTGTTATTCTCGGCCATTTCTTAAGTCGATTTTCATTTAAATTATTTAAATTAGGTTCAGTAACTGAATTTATTGATCTATTTATCAAAAAATGCATGGGAGTTAAAACTCCAAAATCATCTTCATTAGCTTCTTCCTGTTAACGGACACAGAGGTCTTGAATTTAAAATTCCCTCAATCTGTATAATTACTGTTAAGAACTCTTCATACGTTAAATCTGCACTGCCTACAACTCTTTTAAAATAGTATTAGAATGATTTCATTGCAGCTTCTCAAAGGCCTCCGAAATTGGGTGACCCTGGTGGTGTGAATTTCTATTCAATATTCTTGGCAGATAAATAATTAGCTAGTGTTTCATTTTGGATTTTAACTAGGTTATGAAGTCTTTTTATTTTTCTTTTTGTTGGTACCAATGAAACTTGTGGCATTGTCCGAATACAATTTTGTGCATTTACCCCTATGAGATCTAAATCTTTTTAACGCAGCTTCAGAAGTTAGATCAGTCACCATTTCAGTATGCACTGCCTTTGACACAAAACATACAAATATGCAAACATAGTTTTATGTAAAATTCCTTTTCTTTGGTTATGATATCTTATAAAAAATGGACCACAGAAGTCCACTCCACTGCAACTAAAAGGATAATCTAGAACAACTCTGTCTGATGGGAGATTTTCCATTATTTATTTACACACAACTGGTTTGTTTTTTAAATATACAATACAATCACGTACAACTTTACATCAAATAGATTGACCATTTAATGGCCACAACCTTTCGTGCACGTGACTGAATAATGTGGTTGCACCAACATGCGAAAAGTTTTGTTCCTTTTTGTATCTATGCAAGGATTATCATTGAATCTGTCCATAAGTAGACTTAAGTCACTTTTAATTTCAAGGTGATAAGGACTCTTTTTCACCAACTTTGATAATAAGGCAGCAGTACATAGCTCAAATCGGGAACCATTAGGCTCTTAGAAGGGGTGAGTCTTGATTTGCTCGAGATTAACTTTACCAATGTTCTCCCAGAAGAACAAATGAACTTGCAATAAACTGCTGCTCTGAAACAATGTTCTAATCTGTCAGCAAAACCATGGATTTCAACAGTTTTAGCTTGATGAATCACTACACGTCAGTCAATATCGATGTTGTTTATGCTCTCTAGTGTCACCAGAAATTAATGCCATTATTAATTTTCAGCAGCAGGAAGCTATTGGTATAACCGGGCAAAGAATACTCAAAGGATCAAATATTCTGGCATTCGACAATAAGACACATCTCTTAGTATATGATACACTAGACTCTACTTTAAACAAAAATCAATCCTTCATCAGTTTCCATGACACGCCCAAGGTTTTGGTTTTAATTAGATAAGAGAATTTGTGTTCTCCTTGATTGAGAGAAAGTTCAGAATGATTTGCACACCATTTATGCAACTGCATGCCTACTCTTTACAAAACCGCTATAAGCTGCTGTTGTAACTTTTTGGCCTCTTTTAACATCAAAGCTCTGCATAACACATCATCTATGTAGAAATTTTCACATAACACACATGCTGCCATTTTAAAATTACTCTTTACATCTAACGAAAGCTGTTTTAGTGTCCTCTTTGCTAAGAAGGTAGTACTGATCGTACCATATGTAACAGTTACTCATAGGTTTTTCACCGTTATACTGGAGAGAGTTGAATGAAATACAGTTTGTTGTTAAACTTGAACAGTTAAACACATCTCTTAATTTAGTACTACTTTTTTCTGGTTCATATATTGCATGATGTGTTTCTTAATATGCCACTTCAGGCTCTTTCTCATCTTTAACTTCCTTCGTATGTCCTAACTGAATATACTCATAAATGAAGTCATGATATATATATATAGAGAGAGAGAGAGAGAGAGAATTTAGATCTCTTGGCAAGTAAGTCCACAATGATCTGAGTTTTTTAAGAGTAGTGTCTCTAGACTGACCTGAACACAAAGGATTATCTTTAAGGGGCATTTTTACCACGTATCTACCTTCCTCGTTTCTCCAGTGCATTTGCACAAAATGTTCCTCACGTGTACAATTTTCTTTACTTTTGGTTAATTCTAAGTCTACATTTTCAATTATCCCTAAATTTTTTATTGTTTTATTTAAATCCTCTTCCCATATCAATCCGCAGTGTATTGTTGTCTCATTTCCTTGATCTACACTTCCACTGGCAACATACCCAAACATTGTATTTTGTAAAAGCAAATTTGAATTTTATGCATAAATTTGTCCTGGTCTCAATAATTCATAGAATATCTCTGCACCTAACAACATATCAATTTTCTCTGGGATATTAAAACTGTAATCAGCTAATGGTACTAAGTTTGAAACCTCAATATTTACATTAAAAACCTGATGTAGTATAAGATCCATAATTTTTTTTACAACAAGCAAATTCATCTCTTTCTCAAAACTCCTAATTTGATTTGCAATTGCTGTTGTAACATGACCTTTCACTACCATTGATGAATCATTTAAACACAAGATTAATGTATTTATTTTTTCCCTTTTTAGTCCTAAGCGTTTCACACATTGTTCACTTAATAAACATCATTTGAGAACCAGGACGCCTATTCTATGGTCACTGGATCTGTCTACAACTTAAGCGAACAATATTGACTCAAAAAAACCGGTATAGACAGCCGTCACAACTTATCGGAGAAAGCCATTCTGTGGTCCTCAGTTGGTGGGCGGGTGGGTCCATTTGACTTTACTGAAAGGGGACAAGGCTTCAAGGAGCTTTAGACCAATCGCAGTACAGACGAGTGACGAAATTTATAGTGCGCGCTGGCTGAAGTTCTAGGAATATTCTCCCATTATTTCACTAACTCACACGCTGTATTTGTAATTCGAAAAAAATTGCACAAAACAGTATTATGACCAACATGCAGCAGAATATGCTGCTGTCTTATGTGAAGGAAAATCCCGTTTTTTAAGGGGAAAGTTAACGCAGGAATTTAGAGCTAAGAAATAAAGAGTGATATGGGATACCACGAAAGCAATGGTAAATAGATAAGAGTAGATGAATTAAGCTTACTTCAAATCCTTTTAGAAATAAACAATTTTAATCATTTAAATTTATAATATGATTAATTTGCATTACAGTCTAATAGCAAA